TTGTTGTTGGTCGTTTGCTTCATTAGCTGACAGTATACTTCATCTCTTAAGCTTTCAAATTTATGGCAATGCTGAACACACAAACGCCAAAAAATTATATTATTCATAATGTTTATACAGTTCGTGGTGTCCGAAATATTACCATGAGAATGGTGTAAACGCATTTGACTTCTGTGAACTCGGGCGTTGTAGGCAAATCGCCCATGTACCTCATAACGCATTCGAAGCATTCTATGGCCAGTGCGTCTAACTCCGGGTCCAATTTAAGGAGCGACTCGGGTATCGGGACATTTGTGTATTTTACCATTTCCAATTGTTCTTTCCACGTCCAATCGTCGCTCTTTTTCTTGGAGTTTTGTATGACTTTCAGCGAACCGTTGATTTCGCCATTCGCAGATTTCAGCATGTCAAACCTAGATGCACATCAAACGAAAAACATTTACATATTATATTTTTGTGAAACTCTAGTCGATAAATAATATGAATTACTTCTCCGAGCTGTGTCTGAAATTATACATGGCGAATTGAAGTAACGAATGTTTACCGTCATCAGCAGTCTGTAAGCAAATAAATTAAAAATATATTTAACGAAAACTATATAGTTACAATTATCAGAATATTTTAATTTTTCAAAAACATGGATAATTCGTTCGTACAAAGTGGATAGGTGGTGGCGATTCATGTTGTCTATACGGTGATGTTGGTTTGGAATACTTCGTGTTTGTTGTGTTTGTTTGTTGCCACCCTAAAAATAATGGTAAAAATATTTATGCAATTTAACATATTATAATCTGTACCATATAACTTTAGAAAATATTTTATATAGCTTATTATAAGTGACTACAGTAAAGTATAATTTTATTTATTTACCTTTGTGTTCAGCAGCGCGGATCTTTTCATCCTAAAATCATTAAAATACGATTTAATTTGAATAAAAAAACATTTTAGTAAAAACAAAAACAACATAGAAGAAAAAGTGAAAAATCTAATTTCTCTTCCCGAAACAATTTCATTGAAATCAATATGTTTCACTTTTGCTGAACAGTTTTGAGCTTGTTAACTAATTAATTAATATTATTCTGATTCACTTACCACTTGRCGGGGAAGACGACCAAGTGGTGCAGCGTCCTTCCAGAATGAGCTTATCATCGAGTGTATTTGCCTGGATCTATTAGAATGGAACGGTATTGTTTCACCCGACATTAAAGTGAGCTGTACAGAGCCTCCAGCTTTACCCATAGAGACATCGGCAATGTCTTCAAACCTGTTAAAATCCAACAATCAMCGATTTAATTATAGTACTTATTAGTATATTATATTGCATATACAATCGGTAGAGAATGAAATTGCTTAAACAATAAACAAGATTAGAATTAGTTTTMACTTACGTCAGCGTTTGCATRATTTGAAATTGGTTTTCTTCTTTACGGAGTAAATGAAGACCSGCGTGAGCGATTGCTAAGTATTCAACTTCTCTGTGCTGATAACCACACTATATAATAACATTATTACAAGAAAGACGTTAAGATATCWCTATATCGTGCATTAAAAAACGATCATCAGACATTGTGATGAATATATCACACAATATTGAACATACCGAGACTGGAAATATGCGTGAAAAATACAATGGCCACTGACGAGCCAGCTCGACGATGGAGCGTTTGGTGCTGGCTTTGTGATGACCTGTTTGCATGTTGCTAGCTGTCACTCCAAAACGATCCAATAACTAAAACATTTTTTTCATAAATAAATAATGATKTAGAGAGAATTTTATGCMATCGCATTATTTTCATTTTAAAGGTTGACAATAATGTTATCGTTTTAAATATATGAATTAATTTTTTATACTCATATACGTACGTCCAACATCTCTTCGCGTTCGTCACCGGATATTCTGGCGTGTACCGAATGGAATTTGTTAAACATGTCGCTGACTATTTGACAAAATATTAAATGCAAAACCAACGGACTAGACATCGATTCTTTGGGGGTAAAAACCTGATGGGAACAACAAAACGGTTAGTATAATATAATAAGCGTAATTATCACTTAGACCACATCCGTAAMTTATGCCATACATGACGGACGGTGTTWACTTACTTCCTTCCGAATATTTAACTTCCACGGTACGCGGTTATAAGTGAAATAGGAGTTGGCCGGCGTTTGCAGCAGTTTCGTGGACTGTCCGTCTTCGTTTTGCGTCGGCGACTGTATTCTGGTTTCGAGACGACCGTTGAACTCGGGGCCTTTTTCGACCTCGTGCTGTGGTTCTGTGGTGTAATTGTTTGGCACCGCGTTCCGGAACATATTGTTYTGGTCGTATTCGCGGGTCACGGGTTGTATTGGAGCTGGAGGACCGATTATGCTGTTCTTTTTCCTAGCAGGAAGATTTTGAAGTGATAAAATTACACCTTCATTATATTATAATAGATTTACGCTTAAACGAACGACCAAAATGTAGTGATAATTTATCATAACTACCATATCATTATAATTATCGAATGCGACTCACATGTTTTGATTATAAAAGCTGTTGGATCTTGACGGGGTGATTGGCGGTGGTGGCAACCGCCAGCCAGAGCTCTCGATTCGTTCCACTTGATTGCGTATCACATTGTTCGGTTGCACGTCCGAAGCGTCCTCTTTGACCACGCTTTGAGAATCGACACTGTCGACGCTACCCCATCTCCCAGCTAAAAATAACATCGTCGTTACAGGAAAGAACAAAAAACATTTCTATTTGCAAGTTACATCTAGTTTCTTACATTTTAAAATACCGCCTACATTTTTTGTTTTTACCAAAACTACACTACAACTATCAGGGCCCGATTACAGAGTGTAACATACATTTATATTTACAGTAAATGTACCTTTAAAATACCTGTTTTTACCATATTTATACCATATTTCGGAAGAAGCATAAAATATAGTGTAGTCTTTGATTTTGACTTACATCTGTGTATTCATAGAAGACAGTATACCGGCCCCWTGGCTTTTTCATATTATATTTCCCCCATCATTGTATTATGCGTAACCACTATAATTCTTTACTTATAGTATATTACAATGTTTATAGCTACTTTACTTCGGAGAAGTTTCTCTTTGAAATATAAAGTTTTGAATACCAAAAAAGATATCATCTTTCCAACCAATTTATATATATATWTTTTTTTTGAATTCTAAGCTCTGGTAAAGCATTTGCTTTAACCTCCATTAAGGAACGTCTTGATCACAATGCATAAAGAATTTCAATATTTTAACAAGTCTTCTTACCTAGTTGTTGCTGCAACAGTAGTCTCCTATCAGTGTCTAGTTTCCCGGCTGTCGGTATTGGCGTAGGCATATTGTTCATAGCTTGCGGTCTGGTCTTACTAGTTGTCGATCGTAGACTGTGATTGGCTGTGACCATTTCCAGCTTATGCTTCATTTCGTTGCTTATTCTTAATTTGCCTACACTGCCTGGACTAGGTCTTAATGCGCCAACTTCTAATGATTTATACGACGATTTGTGGACTTCTGTTTGCTCTTTAGGTGTTGGTTGTTTCATTACTTCAGACTGTTGTATTTCGTACTCTTCCCATTCGACTCCGTTCAGTTCTCCGTCTTGACTCGAGTCCTAAACACAAGATGTGATATAACATATAACACGCGATTACAATATTTAGATCGGGTTTTTCCGCTTCCGAGTAACCGGAAGTGAATTATTACTCATAATAATTTAATGTTTATGCATCGAATGTATTTGAACTTTGTAAACTACGAAATCWCATCGAAAGATTATAGAATGTAATTGATTTACTTACGTAAGTAATATCATTTATGAAATTCCAAAATTTAATTCAATCTAGACATAATATAAACTCACCTGTGATTGCTTGTGTCTTTGGTTTTGTTGTTGTTTGGACATTTTAAACTGCAAAAAACTTTGGTGTGACGGAAACCCGTTCATGTCGCCAGGCACACCATTGCTAGTGCCATCACTTGGCGGTGGCCATCTCCATTTACCAATGCGCACTGTTTTCGCTCGACCATACGGATCCATGAATGGCCTTACCTCGCTAGGATCGCACAARTCTGGTGGTGGTGGCATAGGAGGCGGCGGAGGCACAGCACTCTATGCAATTAAAACGTATAAAAATTATAGTCACACACAATAATATTATATAATATTCTAATACAAAAAATGTGTTAGCCTTACACTGTTATAAATGGCTTAACAATCATAATTTAAATAAGTATACATTACCTTTCCAACGTTAGAATCCATGGACGATTTTCTACTTTTTAACTCGCTCAAAACATTTGTAAACGTTGAATGTGGCGATCCTGCACGGAGTCCCTAAAACGTGTTAGCGAAAATAAT